TTGATTCTATGGCAAATGAACAGAAAGAAACCAAGATAAACCGTCACACCAATCGGGAATGGGGAAGTAAATGCTCAAAAATAAAGTAAAATACTATTTCTAGGATGCCTATATCGAAATGCAGATTCTTGTGCTGCTTGACTAAAACACCACTACCATGAGTACACTATATTTTGTATTCAATTCCAAGTCCAGACCAGAAGCTTATGCAACACCAGCTACCAGTTTCACGGTCGAATTGTTGGCATATGGGCTCCTACGCGGAAACCTCGATATTGCCTGAGTGTTAACTATGGTAATTTTGTTGGTTATGACTAGCAGAAAAATCCAAAAATGCGCGTTTTTTCCTGCTTGGGACTCGTCAGCTGGCAGTACCTACAATCCAGTGAGTGATGCCGCTCCGTTTGTTCCGTTTGAAGCGATGGATACGAGGTTCGAGTCTCAATGGGAATAATATCACTCACTAAGGTGTAGGTGCTTCCAGCTGATAAGGACGAAACGCGCGTCCTGGATTTCTCTGTTGGCCACAATGAACCAAATTTCCATAATTAGCCTTCAATATTGTTAATAACAACTTTTCTAGATGCAGTAATATTGTACAAGGAATCCATTTGTTGAAATGCTACTTACTCGAAATCCATAATGTATAACACACACTAATTGGAATAAAGAAATTATTAATATTACTATTGTACAATAAAGCATCGTCACTATGAATAATTACGAAGTCCAGGTTATATTAGAGTTTTACTCGTTTGCTGTATGCCTAAATAATATGGTAAATCAACGGCAAAATAAGAAAAGAGCCAAAGACTTCCCACAGATAGTTATAGATTTTATTCGGGTGGACCTTACACCAAAGAGAACGTAGAATACTCGTGAACTCGCATCAGTGCTCCTGCTTCAAGCATTGTACAACACTTAAAACCTAATAGCATTGCTTTTAGATTTATTTACCGCTAGTCTGTGAAGTTTGAAGTCAAACTCATGAAACTTATTTGGAATCACATGTATTAACACTTGTTGCACAAGATTTTGTCCTATAATCAAATTAACATGTTAAACTGATAATATGTGGATAAGCTACTTTCCTTTTCCGTGTATATCTTTTGGATTAAGGCTAGATCAGTACTCACTTTTGCAATGGAAAAGATAAACATTCCTGTTCTTTTATCCTGCTATTCATCTCAATTAGGTTTGCAAAACTAAGGTATACTGGCCTGACTGCATTCAAAGAATAAATTATTACAGTGAATAAGGACTGTGTATATACGACAAGCATGTGCCTTGGTAGGCAGTTAAAAGAGAATAAATTGTAGTTTGACACTTGTAATTTACTATTGTTATTCAGAGTCGAACTGCTCGACCTCTGTTGGTAGATGAGCTCCTATGCAGATGCCTTGATACTCCTTAATATTCATAATGTTCAAATCATATTGAGCACTCCTACCCTAATCCAGAAAAAGCACTTCTTCCGTCCTTTTTTGGACTCGTCAGTTGGGTGTGCATGCACCCCAATGGGTGAGGTTGTTACCACTGGAAATGGAACTTACTAAGCATCGCTTCAGACACCAGCGTGTTATCCACTAGACCACTAAAACACAAGAGCAGCTTCTTATGCCTCTGCTAACATAGGTCGAGCAATTCGGCATTGTTAAGCAAGGGGAAATTACAAGCCTCATAAAAGCAGCTGATACCTTTCGCACAAAAGGTGGCTGTCATGTCTCAGTAGCTTATAGGGTAGTATTTTTGCGTTTGAAGCAATGGGTAAGGAGTTCGACTCAGTGGGATCATCATCACTCACTGCGATGCAGGGACATCCAGCTGACGAGTCTCAAGTGGGACGAATCAAGCATTCTGGATGCCTCTGCTAGTCACCAAGATGAGTAAATTAGTAGGTCGCTTACTTCGTTTACATTTATAGTCATAAAATTAGTGTTCCATTTTTAAACGAATCAAATGATCTTTTAGCGATCACGTAATTCCTGTGTATTATCAGTGTCAGAGTAATGCGAAACCAGAGTTTTCAGTTTTTATTTTTAATTTAAATTAAACAAGCAAAAGTGTTGCATAAGAAGGTCTAACAGTGTGTATTAGATCAATAATTTTAGCTATGGAAGACAAAAACTAAAATTCACTATGTTTGGACACTTATTCCTTCAAAACAATTGTTGTCAGACTTTGGACTTGAATGCCTGACAGTATCAGCGTGTGCAGGTAAATCATTTATTCTAGTCTCTAATTTTGACTCGACTGCTTAACCTGAAGGCCCGTTTTCTAGTTGTCTAAGTACTTTGTCAGTAACCGATGAATCTCAGTGTGAATCTCATTTACCAACCAACATTTTTTAGTTTTGAGGGAGTTGTGGGGAGTTGGAAATATTTCAAATTGTTATTCATCGTAGACTGACATCAGTTAGAGGAACAAAGGAGACCTGGTAGCACTGAACAGCTGTTTCGTCCTAGTATGGGACTCTTCAGCAGTGCGCACCCATGACCCCACCAATGATCGAACTCGCGTTCTTCAGGTTCCATGAATGCGCACTGTTGGAGTCCCATACCAGAACGAAACAGCTGTACAGTGCTCCCAGGTTTTGTTTGTTCCTCCAACTGATGTCAGTCTACGATGAACAAGAACTTGCAACATTTTTTACTGCCTTAGTGTTGATGCTTCAAAAAATGTCTTCCTTAATTTTATAGTCTTATCTTTTATTTAAGTGGAATCAAATTTGCATAGAATTGGTATTTCTAAGCAAAATGTTGTTCTATTTCTCAAGATGACTTTCTCTAGAAATGTTTACTATCACAAATGATTGATTTACAGAGTCTAATTAAAACAGAAGCAGAGTGAACGATATCTCTTCCTCAAATGTTTTGCTCGACCTAACAATCAGTAGGTTAATGCAATAAAAGATGTTTAAAATGGAATTATAAAAGAAATTACTGTTTAAATTAGTAAAACCAATTAGTTTAATGGCCTTCCAAAAATGATTCAATGTATTAGGAAGTTGTATAAATGGCAAATAAAAATAAGAGAGAGGATTTTTTTAAATAGTGGTCAGTGTTACGGAATAGAAATAGAACCTTTGATCATCGATCACCTGAACGTGTTACAATCTTTGCACAGAGCTATTAAAATTCACATGGTGTTGTATAGGAAAGCCCTAGGATATTCATGCATTTTAGAAAATAATGAACGTTCACTTACACCACGCGACAATTTTAATGAAGAAATTCCCGTTTTATCTTAGGTGGGAGTGTATTTTCTAGGCTGAATTATTAGGAAGCTTTCAATCAATTTTAGTGTTCGCCTGAAGATTATGAATAAACCGGAAAAACTAAAGTCACCATCAAGATGTCTTGATGGTTCACAATTTATTATCTTTGAAGAGTGGGATTGCTAAGAAATTCCATCTTTTGTGTTAACGTGGACAAACACGATAGGCGAACAGAATTGATATGTAAGTAAACTTTCGCCATGCAAAGCAAAGCATGTCTAGTAAAAACAAATATTTGACTATGATCAGTTTTTGAGATGAATAGAAATTTTTAAATTTACAGGTAGTGTTCATCACGGATTGACGTTAGTAAGGGAACCATTGAAAAGCTAAGAGAACTGGACAGCTGTTTCGTCCTAGTATGGGACTCCTCAGCAGGATGTACCCACGACCCGGCTAGGGATCAAACCACTTAACCACTGAAAACCAACCCAGCGGTTGAATGGTTAATGCGTTCGCCGTGAAACCTGAGGACTCTGAGTTCGACCCGCAGCCGGGTCATGGATGCGTACTGCTGAGGAGTCTCATACTAAGACGAAACAGATGTCTAGTGTCTCCAGATTTTCAGTGATTCCCAAAATGATATCAGTCCGTGATGAATACTATCTCTTTAATCAGTTCATTCATAAAGCAGCAAAGTGCAACAATACATTTCGCAGTCTTTAAAAAGGAAAAGCTAGAGCTCCTCTACATTTGGGTCAATGAATCTGATGATTCAGAATAGTACACAGTAGGCTAGAATTATCATAAGGACAGTCATATATCCTAAATGAATAAAGCTATTGACAATCCATACCATTTTTAAGTAGTTTTCCTTGATTTTTAAAGTATAAAACTGTAGAAATGATATTGTATTGAGTATAGAGATAAAAATATCCAAATATTTTTCATTTTATTACATTTATAGGATTTCAAAAAGTAAACTTTGAAAAAGTGCACATATGAAGACGTAGGATTCACCTTCAGGAGAATATTCTGAGGATACATGTCTTACGCATATTGTTTTAAAACTCAGTTAGTGACCCGGACGTATACAGAACATGGATTAGTAGACATGTGTAGTAAGATGGGAACAAGGACAGCTTTGGCGTTATAATTAAGAACAGCTAAGAGAATCCTACTGACAAACACATGAAACACAACAGCTTATGCATTTTTGTTCCGTTTTCTATTATTTAGCTAACATTAGGGTCAACACTACTTTATAGCCACGTTGTGTTCCCATCCTTTGGATTTTCTATTCATATTTCATATCCGCTGAATCTATAAAACGGATTCATTTACACTGCTTAAAATTAGGACTTTGACTAGTCACTTAACAACGTGTGATCATTTCAAATATTCTTAATATCAGACTCGCCATCTTATTGTATTAAATTTGTGAAAGGCATTTTACAGGCCTAGTTAAATCTAGTTAGAATAAACCTGCGACTTAATATACGTGTTAATATAATATTTTATTTTATTCACACACTGGGACGCAGAATGCACGTTTCATCAAGTTTGGGACTCGTCAGCTAGATGTCTCTGCACGTCCTGAATTACACTGAGAGTCACTTAGATGAATACATTATTATGAATATCCTGCAGTATCGAGGCATCCACACAGGAGCTAATCTCCCAACAGAAGTCAGACCATGTTTTTTTATCCTATTTCCTCCTATTTATTAACTTAAGTTTTCCATGGATAACAAAAAGAGCAAATCTCATGTTTTTATTCCAGGTAAACCAATACAATGTTGGGTGCCCCAAGAGTTCACACACTCATGGGAAGAATATGCTGAAAATCTCTGTTGGGTCCAAAATACATATTTTCTTCATCCAAGTGACCAAGTCCCTGAAGATGATTATGAATTAACTAAAGTCAGATACATTGGATATTATCAATGGATAGCAATAGTGTTAGCTGGTCAGGCAATGTTGTGTTGGGTGCCGCATATACTATGGCGAGTTGGATCTAAGCGACTACCTATACTACTGAAATCGGCCAAAGAAGCATCAGTACCAGATAGAGAACTTAGACAAAAAGCAATCTCTTGTTTAGTCGCTACTCTAGAAGAACAAGCTGAGTCAACAGCTAGACACAGACGCGCAACAAGCACAATAAAAAGGATATTTTGTAGCCTTCGACCAAATGCGCGTATAACATTTCTGTTTTTTATAGTTCGTACTTGTTTTATCGGTAATTCTGTTGGACAAATTTACCTCATGAAAAAGTTTATTGGGACCAATAGTACTATGTTTGGCATGGACGTATTGAATGATTTGATCAGCGGACAAGAATGGGAAACTTCAGGTAAATTTCCACGTGTGACATTTTGCACGGTACGGGTCAGAAAAATGGGACAAATAAAACCTGCAAGGTAATTTATAACCATCTTAAAATTAATGACGATAATATTTCTATAAACCTGTTTTTGATGATAATATTCCTGTAACTGTTTGATTAAGAGATTTATACTGTCAGTATGCATATAGTCGTCTTCTGTAAGGTTGTCACCCGATAAAAGTGGTTCCCATTTGGCGTTCGGATATTGGATAACAAAAAAGCAACATAATAGCTCTTGTGCTGGTATAAAATTTAACACATACTTCAGTCATAGTTATGACGACTTAACACTCCGTTTAAAAAGGAACTACTAAACGTAGATACAAATCGGAATTGACGTTTCATAAAAGCAAAAAAATGAAGTGATTGGACAAAACGGTATTGTAAAATTTTTAAAAATATTCAAGTGACGATACGGTGACCTTCATAATCTTACCTAAAGAATAACATGAAAATTTAGTTAGACGTATCAGGTGTATTTTTACTTGTGTAATCACGGCGTAGTATATTATAACAAGTAACAAAATAAACAAATGTTTTGTATTACCCCTCAACGTTTCGATCTTGCTACGAAGATCCTTTTCAAGAGTATGAATCTGAAACTAAGTTTGCAGGTTAATATTCAAGTTTAGGTACAGAAGGTTGTGATCTTGAAGATCATCCAGTTACATCGCCATATGGAGTAAAGATCAATGTAATACAGGTGAGTAAACAAGCGTATCGGTAAGAGAGGCCTTTTTCATGTGTGCGAGTGTGCTGGAACAAAAATAGGGGCGAGGAAATTTAGTTCGACAATGAACAGTAAAATGGGGTTGTGAGTCAGCAAGGGTGAGAAAGAACAAATTACTAGCATTCACTGATCACGAGAGGGCAACCAATTTCATGTTATCTAGTCCTGAGTGCGGACCGAATTCTATCAATCGCGGCCCGAATAGCTCAGCGGTAAAGTCGCTGACTACCACACTGGGTGACGCGGTTTCGAATCTCAGGCGAAACATCAGTCCCATAGAGGTTGCAGATACGCCTTGCTGACGAGTGCCAAAAAGCACAAAACCTAGGACCATGGCTTCCTGCCGGTTGCCTCCAACCAACTAAAATAAATTACTAGTTTGGAAGGATGAACATTTAAACATCAGACAATGTATAATAAATTCATAAAAATATTGATAACGATAAAGTTACTTTTGACAATACTTGAAGTATGAATGATAACAGAATGGATTATGTAATATATGGAATGGTTCATAGTATTGATATAATCCAGAAACGAGCGTAAAATTGATGGCAATCGTAGATCGATGAAGTGTTATGTGATAGGACTAGACAAGTTGTTAAAATGCAACCAATACTTTTGGGCATGATTAAGACGATTAAGTGAAACAATATCGGAAACCATTCAAGCAAGAGTAAATTCGGAATAAATCATATGGAGTCAAATTCCGTTCTACCTTCTCTTCATATATTATTTACAACTGTCTATGTGAGTCATTAATGTTTGTCATATTTGTGGGGTGTCTGGCCCATCAATTCTGTTGACCGAAGAAGGGTACGAACAGATGTGCAAAGCTTTTGCAATGGCCCGCTCTTTGTGAAAAAGAAAACCCTTTTTCAGAACTTTTGTCTTTTTGAATGATGTTTTATGGCCTGAATATGAGGCATGAGTCGCGATTGCATAGCTTTTTTCAAGTTTTTCCAGACCACAGGAATTTTTCGGTGGTATCTTGCAACTTCGACGTGTTTGGCTAGACGTGTTAGTACTTGATATGGTGTCTCTCCAATGTTTGTGCGATCCTATTCACTACGGTCTATCTTATAAACATATATCTGTTTGTCTCGAATGCGGAATCAGATCTTTTAATTTACACCGGTGTGAGTGTAATCTATTCGTCACCTTGAAGAATACTCTAATGTTGTAACCACTAAAGATGCCTCTTATTTCCTCTGATGTGGATGTTCGGTAAAGAAGTACTATAGTACTTATCCAATCTTTATGGGTTTATTTCTCCGTGTCTTTATCCTTTTTGATAGCTTTTCCGGATAGCTGTTTTGTTTTAAGACTTCCCGAAAATACTGCTAACCTGTTTGCTGAGAATCCACTTTATTTAGTATCCTTTGTGATCTCCTCAACAGATTTTCGGACACATTCAACTTATTTTTCAATGGGTGAGCTGAATAGAAGTCAAGGTACCTGTTAGAATGTGCATCTTTTCGATAGACACCAATGTCAAGTGTCCCATCATTGTTTCATATCGCCTTGTAGACCAGGAAAGCTAGCGCTCTGCGTTCTGTTCCTAGTTCATTTGCTCATTCATTCACCTGTATTACATTGATCTTTACTCCATATGGCGATGTAACTGGATGATCTTCAAGATCACAACCTTCTGTACCTAAACTTGAATATTAACCTGCAAACTTAGTTTCAGATTCATACTCTTGAAAAGGATCTTCGTAGCAAGATCGAAACGTTGAGGGGTAATACAAAACATTTGTTTATTTTGTTACTTGTTATAATATACTACGCCGTGATTACACAAGTAAAAATGCACCATATACCATGAATCCTACTAACTCGGTCGCTGAGTGTTTTTAAACCATCCAATCCATTGTTAGTCAGGATACCCTCAAAAATGTAATTAAATTTTTGATCTGCATATATGAATTTCTCAGAGTAAGCGTATTCTTTAAAGTTCTGTTAGCAAGCATGTACAATCTGCTGATAAAACATGTACGTTGAGGTGGTTTTGTCCAAAATGAAAAAGCTTCATAGTAACTACTTTAACAGATGAGCGTTATAGTTTCTTGGCTCTCTTTTTCAAGGCGCTATATGTCATTTTGAAAAATGGTAAAAAAAATACTTCGATTTGTAAGATAATAATCATATAAAGTACTCTAATTATTGTAATAATGTTAATGTTGGATAGAAGCTTGGAGTGGAATCCAGGATGCGCATTTCGTCCCATTTCTGCCTACTCAGCTGGATATATCTGCCTTCCAGTTAGTGACACTGTCCCCACCAGAACTCTAACTCAGCACCAGTTGCTTCAAATGCACTATCCACTAGGTCACCGAGTCATGATATCCACTTCTTGTGTGACGGGCATAGTTTTAATGTTTTTTCTTGTAGTGTCCCGTCATTGATTGGACCGAACTGATCGGTCTCTATTGGTATATGAGCTCCTGCACGGATGCCTTGATATTGTCTGTGTTTCATTTATATATTAATGATGAATACAGCTAGCAGTGGAATTCAGGGCGGCCCAATCAATGAAGAGAGGATACAAGCAGCAACACTATCATAATAATGTACAATCAACATAATATGCTGGTTTTATTCCTTCAAACCTTATCAAATGGTGTGAATTGATTCGGGTTGAGGCATAACAGGCAATAGACATAATTTATAAGGGGACTACAGAGCAGAAGAAAAAGATTATTTGTCATAAAACAGTTTCTGTATAACTTCGACAGGAATGGTGCTTAAAACAACATAAAAATGAAGTTTTTTCCAAGGAATCTGTTCCGATTTTCATGGTGATATGAATTAATCACCTACAAGTGATCCAATAGTATTAGTATTATTTGTCCAATTACTTTTTCATGAGTAGACAGCTTATGCACTCTTTGACCTCCCTTAATTTACTTAAGAAATGATGCTCAGTCTTAAGTGCTAGTGGATATGCACACAGAAATATTAAGTGATCTCACATAGTGTACTTGAAAAAGTGAGCTAATTTTTATATGCTTCGAAGCATGTTTTGTTGACCAAGCATATTATCTCAGAATAACCGCGAAAGCGAACACTTTAAACATCTGTTTATACTAAATTTCCTAAACGTTATTTTTCTTACTCTTTTGTTAAGACGTGTAATAAAAGCGGGACCTTTCCACCAAACTGTCTTTTGGTAGTAGGTGCACTAAGTTGTTCACTAAGTAGTTATGAAGCCAATAAGTTGCAGCTACTAACCACTGAAATAAAAAGATTCTTTGAAGAGGAAACATATCACCATAGAATAAGACGATTTATCTAAGATTTGAATAAAATGTTGTATTTTCTAGGGAATCTGCGCCAAATGCCACCAAATATGTTTAATCAGTTTGTTCCTTTTCAACTTATTTGAATCATTGAGATATATCTTCAAGTCGTATAACATAGTTTTGGGTATTTCCAAAAATGTTTTCAATGTACAGTTTTGCAAGTTATTGATAGAATCAAAGTGGGTGGTAAGAGGCCTTTAGGTGTAAAACAACGCACAGTAGAACTATTTCTGAAATAGTAGGCTTTGACTGGATAACAAATGCCACCAAACCTACGAATGATTTTCTGCTTTGAAACAACGTACCCACAGACTAGACAACAACTCACTAACAGTTGATCGGTACATCTTAATGCTTACAGTCTTGATTTCATTCGCACTGTCTCAATGCTAAAACTATCTAGTTTACAAGTATTGTACTGGGAGTATATCTGAAATACTGTGTATGGAGTATTCTGTACGCTACCAAGTAAATTTCTCGTAAGAAAGTAGTGATAGCTATTACTAAACCCATATATTCATAGTTAAGGAACTATAGATAATCATTTTTTCCAGTAATGTTTTCGAATATTTGATAAGCACTATCAGAGTAATGTATTCAATACCATAAATTATTGTCCTTTAAGGATTAAGGTAATATTCGCGTTCCGTATGAGACCTGAAGGTCCTGAGTTCGATCCCTAGTGGTGTCATGATTGCATACTTCCATGGAATCCCATACTAGGAGGAAACGGCTGCTCAGTCCTCTCAGGTTATTACCGATTCCCTAACTGATGTAGGCCTGTGACGAATACTATTATCGCTATAAATTAAACCAATTAATCACACACACTTCAAAATTAATATTGGGTAAAGGAAGTTTCAAATTCGTTAGGATGTCATTTCATTGGATAGTGAGAGTTAGTAGGAGACATACTTGTTCAACATTCAGCTGAACACTAAACAGCTTAGACAGATTTAACTAAACAGACCGAGAAAATCAGTTTTGGAATATTTGTTC